TTTTTTTTTTTTTTTTTTTAGCAATTTTTGTTTATTGTTAGATGTCGACTTTTTGACAGTTTGATCTCTGAGCGCTCAACTATTGACTATAATTTTTAGACATAACTTTTGCAATATTTTTTTTTTATTTTTTTCTCTCTATCTTCTCCACTTTCAGACCTGATCTCTTCTTTCAACTCTTCAATTTTTCTTCACTTTTCTATTATATTCAGAAAGTCAGAAAAAAAAACTAACAACAACACTGAAACCGATAACGGTCAACATAACATCATCGACGATTTCGACACAGAAGTAATTCTAATAGCTTTTTAGAATAAGCAATGCCCTCTTTTAATTAGAGCATTTATGTTGTTTGACCAGAAACCATTTTTTACACAACGTATTTTTTTTTCACTTTTGCCTTTATCACCTTTTCAATTATTACCTTTTTTTATCGTCACTGATCTACATATACTGACATTCAGATGCATCATACCTCACGTTCTTTATTGGTAAATACCTACAGCATCGGCTTTTCATACCTGTATCTTTATGCATTGTAAAAAAAAATCTACTTTACTTTTGGAGAAACAATTTTTTGACCAAAAATAACTGTTTAAACTATTCTTAGCTTGAAATTAAAAGAGAAAAGGACGTGTTTTTTTTTTTTTACTTTGAACGTTTCGCTGTGTATTGCTTAAAAAAGTTAAATATTGTGGTTAAGCGATTTTTCGCAATTTTCACCGCGTAAAAACCGTGCCTTATTTCTGGTTGTCAACATTAATATCAACTATTTTCATCATTAATGTATTAACAGAAGAAAATCAAAAAAACACTTTATTTTTTGTCTTTTTTTTTTTTCTTAAAGAAATTTGAAAACGTTTCATTGCTTGAAAAATGTTTAGTGTAATTTGTTGTTTTATCAGCGTTTATTTTCTGCTGAAAAGTGATTTTTGAAAAAATTTATTTTTGAAGATTAGATTTTTCAGATTTGTACCTTTGCTTCACATATAATCAGCATAAATCGATTAAAGTCACTCGAACTGTTAGCAGTCAATGCAGCTAAATAATCACTGAATAAATTTTTAAAAGATGAAAGAATGATAAAAGACAGAACAAAATACTTCATTAAAGGATTATAATATTCTATTTAAAAAAAGCAAAACTACAGAATTTCTGCTTTTCTTCTGTTTACTGTTACTGTGGTGTATGACATGACAAATGCGTTTATTGTAATACCGTTAAAAACTAATAATTTTTTAGATAACACATTTGCTATTTCTTGGAAAAAAAAAGCAACAAGTAAAGAAAAAGAAGTGTGAAAAAAACCGGAACGAAGCTTTTGAAAAATAATTGCTTAGTTGAGTAAAATTTAGTTTTTTTCAAACAGTGAATTAGCTGTCCAAAAATTTTTTTTACAGAAATCACTTCTGGTTTCTTTTTTTTTTTCTTTGCAATTGTCTTCTTCAATTAATTTCTTATTTTTGACTTACTTAAAATTATAGCTTTTTTTCTTCCCCGTTTCTAAGCACTGCTTCTAACCGGTTAATTTAAAAGCTTTTCATTCAGCTATCCTTATCAATAACTTTTTAAGTAACTTGGACAATTTTTACTGTGATTACATATCAAGTAGAAAAAAGTGCCTGACATATGCTGAATATTTACTGCTGTTGCAATTGTTAAAAAATTAATTTCTGATAAGCAGTTAGTAGAAAAAAAGAAAGGCCAAACTGTTGAAACAAAAACTACTAGAATTGTTTCAGCAAAAAAAAAAAAAACTTCCAACATGAACTTTAGTCGGGAAGTTGTCGCTGCAACAGAAGAGGACAAAAAACAGAGCAGAAGGAATGACGAAAAATATACATTTTTGAGATGAACTGAGAAATCAACTAGGATCAACATTTTTTTCACCACGTGCAGTGTCACTTTAATTAAACGGTGTGTTATCAAAATCTGTTGAAGTGTTCGGTGAT